TTAGCACCACATCTGATAAAAACCAGTGCTCATTTCTCAAAAGAGCTTGCTAACTAAATATTATTACCAATGTTTGCTATTGGCCTAGGCCAGAGGAAGACAAATATCTTCATCCCTTCTGATGATGAGTTTTCAGCCCTTTCCTTCTAGACCTCAATGTCTCAGCACCCATGCTAGTGTAATCCCTCCACAAAGGTTGCAAATTCTAATGCGAACTGAACAATCAGTCCCACTTCTTAGCAGGCTCCGTGGGCCCAGGTCCTCCAATTTTTAAAAGAAAACTAGAATGTAGAAACTTCCTCATTTTTAAGTTTTGGAAACTTGGACTGTAACGAAAAGAAAACCCAACTATGTGTGAAACACTGTCTAAGCCAAATAAAACAGGTTTTTCTGCCCAGATTCCTGGCTCCGGTTGCAGCTTTCAGCCTCTGCCCTTCGGACCTTTGCGCACTCATGCTCAAGACACATCTTCTTGATCAGTTCCTGAGGACTGTGATGAAGAAATTCCAGAAGGGAAAAGTTGCTGGGTGCCTCTGATATGCTTCACAGTCAGTGTTGAGGCAAGCAGCCTCTGATCTTACTCAGAAATTTCCTTATTGGACACTCGCTCATGATTTGGAGATTTCCAGCATTTTCCAAGGATATGAGAGTTTGCAGTAGCTACTTGGAAACACTTTTTTACTCTTTCAGTAGCCATCGTCTGTCAAGTCTTTTTCTTCATGGTCATTAAAGCCTGACCTTCAATAAAACACACTAGTTTTCTGAGTCAGGCTGATTTCTCTGACAGGGATGAAGAAATCTTCAGTAAGACAGAGGCATGAAGACAATGCACACATTTAAAATGGGATCAGTGGATGGCTACATTACAGCTATCTGAAGAGAGGGCTTTGTTGAAAGTTTACCTAAGCATTTCACATCTCTCATCATTAACTAAAGAAAATGAAGGTGTGACTGGGTTTCATTTGGCAGTAGATTTTCTCTGGGGCTGTGCAGCTTCAGAATTCAAATCTCTGCTAATTTGTATAGGTGTAAAATGTGTATCTTGAATAAATTCTATGAACACTGCCTTCATCCTCAAACTTTCTTGACTACACAGCTGTCTTACATGGATAGAGAACATGGAATAAAGCCACATGTACTTGGATCACACAAAGAAAAAATACACAAGGAAGCTTTGCACTTTCTAGGAAGAATAGCTAAGGGCCTTGTTGAAGATTCAACAGGAGATCAGAATAGAGAACCCTGGGAGGGTGAGCGTTCATCCTAAAGTGGGTACCATGCAGACTCTCCAGGCCAGCTGTCAGACGGCAAGAGGCCTACTATTAATATTATATACATATATATGTATGTATGTATGTATATGTTGGAAATTTAAGTGTTACAGTTTAAGCAACTTGATGATTTTACAGTATCGTGGGAGCTTTGTTCTTTTTTGTTTTTGCTTGTTTCTTTAAAAGATGAATGGAATGAGGGCTTTCCGAGATTTGGGGTAGTCCTCAAAGATCTTGAGGTAGAACCTAAAAGACACAAATCAAGTAATTATAAATATAATCAAGGTCAACGGTTGAGATTTTCTGTGTCTAAAATCCTTCTTACAAATCAAGCTACACTTACTCAGGGCCTGACTCTTCCCCACGGCCATTTGTCCACCTTCTTTCTCCCTCCTGCATCCTATCACTTATAAACATTGAAATGTCTTGTGTTGGGAAATAAAAATAACCAGAGGACAGCGGTGATGGTTGCACAACATTATGTATTACATAATGAATGTAACGAATGCCACTGAATTGTACACTTAAAATGATAAATTTTATGATATGTATATTTTACCACAAATAATATAGTAACTAGAAAGAAGTACTGTACTCAATGAATTCAACAGGGAAATACAGGAAAGCAGAGACCCTCAAAGGCTATGGGCAAGGTTAACCCTAGGAAAATATTCCCAGGAAAATATCCCTTCATGAGGCCTGGGCATGCTGAGACAATGAATGTTACCTTGTATTATCAGTTGAAGTGTGTTCCCCCGAAATATATGCTAAAGTCCTAACCTGCAGTACCCGAGAATGTGACCTTATTTTGGAAATAGGGTCATTGCAGATATGACTTATTAAGTTGAAATGAGGTCACAGTGCAGCAGGGCGGGCCCTTAAAAGCAATATGATGTCCTCAAGAGAAGGTGAGAAGAGACTCAGAGACAGACATGTAGGGGAGAAGGTCATGTTAAAACAGAGGTAGAGACTGGAGTGATGCAGCCATAAGCCATGGAACACCAAGCATTGCCAGCCTCCATCAGAAGCTGGGAAAAGGAGACAAGGAAGAATTCTTCCCTGGAGCCATCAGAGACAGCATGCATGGCTCTGCCCACACCGTGATGTCAGACTTCTGCCCCCAGAACTATGAGAGAATAAACTTCTGTTGTTTTAAGCCACTCAGTGTGTGAGCATCTGTTTTGGCAGCCCTGGGAGACTAGTATGTCTCATAAAAAGGCATTCTCCTTTTTACAAGTGACCAGGCTGTCCTCTTAACCAGCTGAAGCTGGTAGCTCTCAAGTTATAATCAAGATGATACACTCTAAGTACCTTAGTTTGCACTGGGAGATAAATGCTGTATTACAAGAGGTGTCTGGATTTCGGGTTATGATCAGAGGGGTTTAGTGAGCTCCCTCTCATAAGCCCAGTTATGAAAAAGATGCCCTCTGGTCCTCCCTCTGGGGAGGCTGACATAGCAGGATAGGGCCTCAATTTGGATTTTTTGTTGCACCAGCTGGAACCCTCTGGGTGGAATTGCTGTCCCTCCCCTGACCAAGGCCAACTGAGTCCATACTTCTCAGGGCCCCTCCAACTGCTGGCCAATGCCCTCTCCCCCCCACTCCCCCTCGGCCTCTGCCTAAAGTGGGGACAACTGTTACACTGACTCTTACAGGCTGGGCACCCTCCCCAAGTCTAAGGAGGTGGCAGGAATAGGTTACGAGGAGAGCTGTTGTTTCATTCATTTCTGACAAGTCTCTGCTTGTCCACTCTGGGGAAAAGAACCCATTCCTAGTGCAACCTTCAAAACTATGAAATTAATCATTAGCTGGACTAAAACACCTGTGCAGGAGCTTAAGGGGTTCCCCCTGGGTCCTGTTCCAAAGTCCATTCCCTCTGGATAGTCTTAGTCTTTCTCTCTCTCTCTCTCTCTCCTTCTTTCTCTCTCTCAACCATAGGCTTTCTCTTTCCTCCAACTACAAACACCATTTTAGAGAAAGGATCTGCAATTCGCATTTAAAGCTTGATAACAATTTAATCTGATAGCCTTCCCCTGCAGTGATACTTTTAGTTAACTTTTATCCCCACCCCATCCCAGGTACAGGGTTTGGAGGAAGGTGGGACTTAGGAAAGCTTTAGGCTAGACCTGCAGAGGAAAGGTTCTAAAACCCTGCAATTTCCTGGCATTTCCCAGGTGATGGGACAGTCCTGAAATTACACAAGAGTAATTGCTTACCCTATCTTCCCAGGAAGCCAGCAATGACCTTGGCTATGATTCAGGGGGATGGAACTAGGGAAAGGAGAGCACCAAAATAAACCCTGAGATTACACAGATTCCTGTGAAACAGGAGAAATAATCCTGGAGTTTCCAGGGCTCTGTAATTACCTGAAATTTTAGCACCAAACCTAGAATTAAAAATAGCAGCCACACTCGACACAGGTCTAGTGCTTTTCCCCAGGGGTTCTCTATCTTGGCTGTACCTCAGAATTATCTGTGAAGCTTTGGAAAGTGCTGCCCATGGTCCTACCCATGGAACATACTTCGAGATATGTGGCAAAAGTGAGTTGAATTGAAGCATGGAAATGGAAGCTACTTCTTGTATCTCTTGACTCTTACATGGAGCCCACTGCCAACCAGTAGCCATTGCCCACTAAGCCTGTTAGGAGGGCACAGAGCCTCCTGGGTAAACTAACTCACGTGGATACAAAGCACTTCCCTCTGGGAAACGTTCTTTAACAGGGTGGCTTCCCTTGAGTGCCTTTGTCTGTACAGGTTTATTTTTCCTCATAGAAAAAATAAAATGTGTTACTGCTACTGTCACCCAGCTAAATTCCAACTGCAATGAAAGCCCACGAGGTCAGATTCTCCAGTCCAGATTACCCCATCTACTTTACCTTATAAAAATAAACATCTTAGGTTTCTACATCTGACTCTGTGCTAAAAGCCTGCTTGGAGAAGAAAGCTAAGTGGATGTTGCCACCTTGATTGGAAAGTTTACCTGTGATGGTGAAAAGCTCGCAGCCCGAGGAAACAAAATGAGAAAAATGCGAATGCAAGTGCTGGGAGGGACCAACTAGCCAGAGCAAAGCCAATCCATTCAATGATCTCACCAAGGAAATTGGCTCCAGAAACATATGTGAACAAGCCACCTGCATGCAGAAGAATCAAAAAGTCAATCGTTAGACCTGATCACTGTGACATGAAAGCCCCTCTGCTTGGTTCTGAAATACGTAAGGGCAGCTAGAACAAATGTGGGGCTGAAGATTCTCTTTCCAATCATCACAGTTTGGTGGAATCCTCTTGGGGAGAAAGGAAAACAAAGCGCCAGCAGAATATCCTGGAATCGTGCTTGATGGGTTCCACCCAAATATTTAACAACCGATGGACCACTGGCTCCAGACAGGACGAGGATGAGAGGCAGGAGGTCTGGGGTTTGTTTCATTTTATTAAGTAACATTTCCAGGCCACCTCTCAACTTCTCACTCTTTCCCTGGACACCCACACGGCTGGTCAGCATATTTCATGTTCACAGTGGAACAAAACAACACGTTGTGTGAAAACAGTCATAAAAACCTGAATTGATGTGAGAAGTAATTTCATTCTCCTTTGGCATCTGCCTTCCCACCTCTGCAAAGCAGTACACCCCGTTCACATTTAAAGGAGGGAGTAAGTGCTGCAGGGTTTTGCCCTCAGAAGGCTGATGAGGTCTGCTTCCATTAACTTTTTAAGGTTGACTTTTCTATCCAACCAAGTATTCTGATATCAGAACTACATTAGAAATCAACACATTTCTAATCATACTAAATATATCTACACTCAAAATTTCTGTCCCATACTAAATTGGGAAAGTTCACTTACTACAAATACAGAAGGTGCCAAAAAAACGTATACACATTTTAAGAAAGAAAACAACTGTATTAACATTATAATACTCAATATATACCAATAACAAAAGATGAATACAGGTCATGTATATACATTTTTTTGGCACCCTCGGTACTTTTTTTCCCCCGTAATTATATAAAGAATATTTGTTTTTAAATCATTCTCTAACATAACTCAATAGTTGGAAACTAACCTTGGTAATCTAGCATTTAAGAGCTTTCTCTGCTCTTCTTTGTCTAGTTATTAAGTGAAGATTTTAAAAATTGACAGCCTCTAAAGTTCCTTAAGGATGACATTACATAAGCAGTTTACAACCTGTGATTCCCCAGACCCTGGGAGGAACCACTGACGTATTGCAAAAGGTCTATAAATTGTCTCTGAATATGGTAAATGGTATATATTTTAACCTATGGTATTATTTTCATTTGATGTAGATACTGTTAGGATGTTAGCAACATTTATGTTCATTTAAATGGGCTTTTGAATTCATAGTAGCTTTGTCATTATTTTCTTAATTAATGAATATTAATCTCAACTAACATCGTGTTGCAATTCAGGAAATTTTTTAATGTAAAGGTTCTATTTACATCAAAAAGGATGGGAGCCACTAATACAAATGCTCACCTAAAAATATGGATGGATTACTTGGGCTGATTCACTCCCAACTGCTTATATTTGTCAACTCATACCTTGGTTTCTTGGGAGCAGTTAGGATTTCAAATATTCTGTGCCTTTATCTCTGAATTCACTTGTAACACCTCCCTTCCTAATTTTTGATTAAGTAAATATTGTTCTCTACACCTTTAAGAATATACAAGTGGCAGGAAATACACACTTACTAACACTGACTACTCACTAGATAAGCCTAGTGAGACTCATTGAAGAGGACAAATTTGCTGGTCACATATGATTCAGCTCTATTTCTTAACCTAGGAAGGACTGACACTCTGTATGTACATGATGGTTAATTTTTTATGTCAATTTGAATGGGCTACAGGATGCCCAGATATTTGGTAAAACATTATTTCTCGGTATATCCATGAGGGTGTTTCTGGATGAGATTAACATTTGAATTGATAGGCTGAGAAAAGCAGATTGCCCTCCCAAGGTGGGTGGGGCTTGTCTAATCCATTGAAGGCCTGAACAGAACAAAAACAAAAAGGTGCTTGACTGCTTCACTTTGAGCTAGGCTATCAGTCTTCTGCCTTACACCACCAGCTCTCCCGGGTCTCCAGCTTGCAGATAGAAGATCACGGGACTTCTCAGCCTTCATGATCACATGGGCCAATTCCTCACAATAGATCATTTTATACCTCCATATTTACATTTACATCTCTATTTTATTGGTTCTGTTTCTCTGGAGAACCCTAATAGAGCATATGACAATCTTCCCTACTGCCATGAGGTCGCAGCCTCCTTCCTGCCCCCAGCCTCACATTCCCCCTCATCTTCAGGGTATTGTGATCGTGCACCTTCCTGATAACTCTTATACCCCTCTTGAACTTTTGGGTTCACATCAGAAATTCAAGTGTGTTGTGGGGTGGGATAGGATGTGGAGAAGTCAAGGGCAAGTCAGGATATATTGTGTCATTTGTGCTCTCTCCATTTGTTACTCATAGTAAATCCTTGAGACAGGCTCCCAAGGAAGGGCGGGAACCTGGAAGGCAGGGGAGACTTTACCTTGTGGAATCTTATAGGCGATTTCTCCAGGCTTCCTGAGGTGGCGCAGTATATAGTCACTATGAATGTTGATTCCCATTCCCAAAATAAATAAGAAGATGCCTGGGCAAAGAAGAGAGAGGAAGGAAGTTAAAAATGTATCCTGATTTTGGTGTTTTTCTCACAAGCTAAGTATTTTTCTAAAAATGAAGGGAAGGGCATTTGATTTTGAATTCTAAGAATGGTACTAAGATATGGCAAAAAAAAAAGCAGGGGGTGGGGCGAAGAAGCAATTAGTCCTAGTCACAAATTTGGGTGGAGGGGCTACCAAACACTGGAAGTGCGTAGTGTCATGTGATGGAGACAGGTGGGAGAGGAAAGAAGGAGGCAGCACCACTGTCCAATTCTTAAATAAGTAAATAAGCAAGTAAATGAATGAATAAATAGCAAGCCTTTGATTCATTCACAAATAATCAAACCACAGTTTTGGTTTGATTGGCTCCAACTCAATAGCCAATTCCACCCCCTTCTCTTTGCCATCTTCACTATAGAGGCTAGACAGCTGAAAGGTGGTCTTGTGACCTAGTTCTGACAAGAAGATGTAAAGAAGTCTTCTGGGGGCTTCCTTGGAAATCTTTTGCTTTTCTGATAAAAGGGGCAGATGGAACCAGTTCCTCTACTGCCTCCCTCCTCCTTCATTGCTGGATGATGCCCTGAGCTACAGCACCTGTCATATAATCATGACGTGACTATCATGAGGACCAGAGGTGAACATGCTAAGAATAATAGAACAGATGTCATTAAGATCACAGGCACTTCATGACATCAGCAAGCAACTACAGGAATGCCAAAGCCAACTACCTTTGAACATTCTTGTAATGTAAGAAATATAAATTCTTAATTATGTAAATTACTATGACTTGGTTTTCTGTGACTCATTCCTGACTAATAGCATCCTCTCTCATGAAAGTAAAGTGAGCTAGACTGGAGAGCGTGGCTCCTAGCAAGCTAGTTTCCACCACTGCCAAATCACACACACATTCTCCTCCCATCACTGGTACAGAAAGGGCCCTGGTCTGAGGTGAGAAGAGCCAGTATCATGGATGCTGGTCCTGCATCCCAATGGGCATCATTACAGACCAGAAACACTGTCCCACACAGATGACCAGCTTCACCTCTCAATAAAGTGTCTTTGTGCTGATCAAAATACATGAGGCAAAAAGCAAGAACAGTTGAAGAAAAACAGTCAGATCTACTCTCACCTCAATTGCTATGTTATGAAATGATGATTTTCAATCTTGTCTAGTCAAAAGATCATTGGCCTGGAAGAAAGGGAATCTGGGGACGGATGCGAGTGGTGAGGGGTAAGGGTAGAGAAAGAGAGGGTAGTAGCATGCACAGCAGTGGAAAAAGTAGGAACCTTGGACTAGATGTCTATATGCCCTTAGGCAAGTCACAACCTCTCTTGGCCTCAGTTTTCTCAGCTGTAAAATGTGAATTCTAACAGTACCTATCTCACAAGGATGGTATGAGACCTACTCATGTGTTCATTCATTCATTCATTCAACTAATATTTATTGAGGACTTACTCTGTACCAAGCACTGCCCTAAACACCAGAAACACAGTAGTGAGTAAAACAATCAAGGTGTCCCTTCTCATGGAGCTTAAATTTTAGTAGAGGAACACAGAAATGGATCTAAATAATGTAATGATTAAAAATCACATAATTATTATTGTAAAGCAGAAAATCAAAGTAGGATAATGAGATTGAGAGTGAATTGAGGTGTTTCTACTCTAGATAATTCCCCAACACTGTTCCCCTCCCTCAATTCTCCAATAAAATCTTTTTAAAAAGAAAACAAAAAAGCAGCATGCTATCTATATTGTTCACACTTTATTTTTATTTAACCACATTTGCAGAGATCTCTCCACATGAGCACACAGAGATACTTCTTGCTTTTGCTTTGTTTGTTTCTGTGGCTCCAGAATGCTCCTTGGTGCATATGTGTTAGCATTCGTCTAACTAATCCTCTGGTTGGTTGTGTTTTCAATGTTCACTCTAGCTGTTGTGTGGAGAAGTGGTTGGTTATGGGGGGCCAGTAAGTGTAGGCTGAAGGTCACTGGGGTGATCCAGGCAAGAGGTCACTGTGGCTTGGACTAGGAGGAAGTGAGTGCTGTTTGAAAGAAGTGAACCCAGCTGGCACATGTTTTGGAACTAGAGGCAGCAGTGCCAAGCTGATGGGCAGAATGTGATGTGTGATGCAAAGAGAGGAAATGGGAATAATCACTATATTTTTGGCCTGAGCCAAAATCATGTGCAGACAGTTGAACCTTCCTGGACTTTAGTTCCTCTCACAGAGAATGAAACAATTTCAACGGTCAGCATTCTCTACGATTTTAGATAGGTGGTCAGGAAAAGTGTATTTGAGGAGGCATAAATTGATAGAGACCTAAATAAAGTGAGGGACCAAGCTCCGTGAATATATAGTGGCACAGCATTGTAAGCAGAGGGAGTCATCCGCATGAAAGCTCTGGGCCAGGACAGGCTTGACCGTTTCAGGGCCAGCAGCAAGCCACTGAGGCTACAGCACAGAAAATGAGGTGGATAGAGGCAGGAAAGGAGGTCAGGACATCGGGCTGAACCAAGGACATTTGGGTTTCATAGGCAGTGGTAAGGGATTTGCATTTTATCCTGAAATCCATCGTAGAGTTTGGAGATGGGGAATGACATGATGTTTTTCAAAGCTCTCTCAGGCTGCTGTATGGAGAAAAGATGGGAGTGAGGTGAGAAAAGGGGAGAATGGAATCACTGAGAGTTTACTGTAAGAGGGTGGGAAGAGGTGATGGTGATTTAGACTGTGGGGAGCAATGCTGGGTGGAAAGTAGTCGGATTTACTTACCCAGGCTAAATCGTATGTCTGTGTACCACTCAGCAGGGTATTCAGCGCAGTAAGTCAGATAGTAGCCTTGCAGGAGTCCGTTTCCCATGCAGAAGACAAAGCCTTTGAGAAGTAACACAACTGGAAAAGGCCTCCCTCTAGTGAGGAATGAGTAAACAAATGTCCTGGGATATATGGGGGAGAAAGGTCAAGATTTGTTGTTTAAAAAAAAAGCATTCCAAACAGATAATCACATCAAACCCATTTTAAAAAAATAGAAACATTTTCCCTTAGATTTCTGCAATGAAAGAACATTATTATCTGGCTCTAAAACAAGCATTTATGATATTATTTTTATTTCATTAAAATCCATAGTAGTCACCACTCATTATTTTATTTTTACAATAGCCTTAGAAGGTAAATGTCATGCACATTCCAGAAGTTAAATTTAATCCTAGGAGCCCAGAATTGGATGCTGATGTTTTCTATAAATGAAGACGTGAAATCCAGACTATCCAGGAAGAAAAGTAAAGCTTGGCTTACCCCATCTGGTAGTGAAATGGTATTTTGATATCAGCCCCTTGACCATATGGCTTTCCATAATGTCTCTCTTGTAGGATCTAATTGTTGATATTGCAGCATTCCCTATAAAATGGCTGCAGAATCCCTTCAGATAATAGAAACTTCTCTAAATGTTAGGAATTATGAATCTAGAGGAATCTAAGAAAAGGGGCTTAAAAATGTATAAATAGCCTCTAAATAAAATATTGCCCAAGATATAATGCTAAATTCTAGACATCAAGCTACATCCGCTTTATAATTGTTATTCTTTTATGGTGCAATGTAACAGTCATACAGGAAAGGTCATAAACCTATACAAATAGTTTAATGAATAACTATCGAATAATGCCTGTATAGTCACTTACCAAGTCAAGAAATAGAACATGGTCATCACCCCAAAAGCCTCCCGTGGGTCCCTCCCTGTTCACAGTACCACCATACCCCAGAGGTACTCAATAGCTTGATTTTTATAATAATCACTTCATTTTGCCTCTGTATAATTTTACCACATTTGTATGCATCCCTAAAAATACAGTTTATTTTGCTCATTTTTAATTCCATATAACTTGAATCATACTCTATGACTCTTAGCACATTCTTTAATGTCTTATTTAACTCATTATGTTTCTAAGACGCAAGCATGTTACTGTACATAGTTATAGTTCATTTAGTTTTATCTCTGTATATTATGCTCTTAGTAAGAATATACCATATGGGGGCCGGCCGAGTGGCTCAGTTGGTTAAAAGCGCGAGCTCTGAGCAACAGGGTTGCCGTTTCGATTCCCACATGGGTCAATGAGCTGTGCCCGAGCTGCGCTGCCGCTGAGCTGCCAACAGGGGACAGGATGGTTCAGCTGTTGAGAGCACGTGCTCCTAACAACAAGGTTGCTGGTTCGACTCCCGCATAGGATGGTGGGCTGTGCCCCCACCCCATCAGGCAACTAAGATTGAACACAGCACCTTGAGCTGAGCGGCTGGGAGCTGCCAAAGGGAGGTCGGATGGCAACTGGACTTGCAGCTGAGCTAGCTGCACCCTCCATAACTAAGATTGAAGGACAACTTAGCTGTTCCCCTCCCCTAATTCCTCAATAAAAATTAAAAAATCTAAAAAACAAAACAAAAAAAGAATATACCATATGTATTTATCTGTTTTACTTTGGTAGATACTCGGGTTGTTCCTAGAGTGTTGTATCCACTCAGACATAATTTTGTTGTAACTCCCAATTTTCCCATTATTTTAGCGATTTTTTTATGCTTAAGCCTTTGATACATCTGGAATTTATTTTGTTGTAAGAAGTTAGATAAGAATCCAACCTATGTTTTTCCTAATGCTAGTAAATCGACTAAATAACTCTTTGTCACTGACATGCATTGCCAGTGGCATTGTACACTAAGTTATATATATTGGTTCTTCTTCTGGAGTCTTGATTCTGTTCCACTGATGTCTCTATTGTCAAAACTACACTGTTTAAATAACTGTACTTTTAAAATATGTCTTAATATTGGTTGGGGCCATTCTTATATCATTATACTTTTCGAGGATTTTGCAGTTTACTCCTGACTGTTTATTTGTTTGTGTGAACTTAAAACTAACTTACAAACACCCAAATTTTGGAATTACTCTTAAATTTAAAAATTAGTTAAGAGAGCAAAATGGCAGAAGGAGAATCTCCAAGAGATCACCCCTTCATAGAAGCAAAAGAAAAAACCTGGCAAAAATAAGCCAGAATTAATTTTTTTCAGAATTCTGGATATTAGCCAAAGGCTTGCAGCAACCTGGGGAGCACTTAGGCAAGAAAATGCCCAAATCTCAGTAAAGGCAGCAAGTTTTGTGGCATTTTAACTTACTCTGTCCCATCTCCCACTTTCTAGCTCTGCACAGCCTTGAAAAGTAACAGCCTGCCGGCATTCCCAGAATTGGGGGATCAAAACAGGGCTGGAACTCTTTCAAAACCTCATTCCCAAAGAGAAGTCATTCTTTTACCTGTCTGGTGGTCCCTTGAAAGGCTCCACTCAAAAGGTTTGTCTTTATTCCACCTCAAACTTACCCAGTGCGGGAGGTTTCTGGGAGGAGGGGGGATATTTTTTGACTGTCATAACAGCAAAGTGGCCTGAGGCAATGAATCTTAAGTGGGGCATATTATAGATTAATCAGAAAGTTTAGAAGGGGGCCGGCCGAGTGGCTCAGTTGGTTAAGAGCTCGCACAAGAGTGCGAGCTCTGAGCAACAGGGTCGCCGGTTCGATTCTCAGCCCGAGCTGAGCTACCAACAGGTGACAGGATGGCTCAGCTAAAAAAAAAATTTAAAAAAGTTTAAAAGAAAAGGCTGAGGAATGAGATGCATATAGAAGCTTTGAAAAGCTCAGATATATTCCTGGGAATCTAGACAGCCATGCACATGCATAGGGCCATCCACATGCTCAAAAAGGACCTGAAAAGGTCCTGGTTGACCTTGAGGTCTGTTGAAATAGCAAGCAAGGCTACAGCAGAGTTGTAAACTGCATGGTGGTTTTTGAAGGAGTTCCCTAACATGCACACAGAGGCCCTTAGCAAAGACAGAGAGACTTATTGGTCCCGGGTGTTTAAGGAAACCTCTGTCTAATCATTAACTGATCATTAAGTTAACCAAGTGGCCATAACAACAAAGATACAGGCTTCACAGAATGAGTTCAGAAAAGTCACTAAGCAAACAAACTACAACAGGCAGCAACAACAAATCCTGGGAAGCAGGGAGAATATGATTTCCAGAGTTGCCACATAATATTATTTGAAACACTTAAACAACTAAGGGACATACAAAGAAACAACAGTATGACTGATACATCAGGAAAAATGCAGTCAATAGGCACTGTCCTTGAGAATCCCAGACATTGGACTTACTTGACAAAAACTTCAAATTAACTATTTTAAATATGTTCAAAGAGCTAGAGGAAACCATGTCTAAAGAACTAAAGTATAAGAATGATGTCTCATCAAATAGAAAATATCAATACAGAGTTAGAAATTATAAAAAGGAACTGTGAGAAGTTGACCTAAGAGGAGCCATTTTAAAACAGAGCTAGGGCAGCCATTCCAGAGGAACTGCTTACATATCTTATTCCTCAAACCTTTAGAAAGTTTGAACTGGGCAAAACAGCTTTTGAACTGGGCAAAACCAACATTGTATTTCAGCCATTGTAAATATTTTTGTTAGTACCTGCAAATAAATTACAAAGCTAACAGGAAAGCAGACATCCTGCCTACCAGATTGAAAATTAAAGACATTCTTTAGAATTAGCATCACCATTATAGGTAAACAATAACTTCTTTATTTACATCTACAGAAGTTCCTTCCTAGACTTATTAAAACCAATAGAAATTCCTTTCTCTTATTCATGTAATTATTCCTCTGCCCTTTCTCATAAAAAAACCCTGCCTTCACCCCGTAATTGGTACACTATTTGCATTTCTGCCTTAATCAGTGCTTCTTAAATAGCTATTCTTTGGATCTCAAATAAACATTGTTGCCTCTCATTTGGCTATTTATTTTTAGGGTAACCAGACCAAATAGAAATCCAGAGTTGAAAAGTACAACTGAAATGAAAAATTCACTAGAGGGATTTCTTCAAAAGTTATGGAAAGAAAAAAATAGATATATTAGACTTTTTTCAAAATTCAGAACTTTTGTGCAACAAAGAATGCTATCAAGAAAGTAGACAATCTACAGAATGAGAGAAAATATTTGTAAATCATTTTTTACCACAATTTAATATCCAAATATATATAATATCCAAATATAAAGAACTCCTACAACTCAACAACAAAGAAACAAACAACCCAAGTAGAAGGGAAATGCACTTGAACAGGCATTACTCCTAAAAAAGATAAACAAATGTCCAATAAGCTCATGAAAAGATATTCAGCATCATTAGAGTAATATCAATCAAAACTACAATGATATACTACTTCAAGGCAACCAGAAAACTATAATTTAAAAAAATGACAAGTTTTGGTAAGGATGTGGAGAAATTAGAACGCTTATACATTGCTGGTGGGAATGTAAAATGGTGCAGCCACTATGAAAGACAGTCTAGCAGTTCCTCAGAAAAGTTGCCATATGACCCAGAAACTCCACTCCTAGGCATCTATCTACACAAGAGAAATGAAAACATGTTAATATAAAAACTTGTACACAAATGTTCATAGAGCATTATTCATATTAGCAAAAAATATGGAAACCAACCCAATGTCCATCAACTGATGAGTGGATAAACAAAATGTAAATCTATACAATGGCATATTATTAAGCCATAAAATGGAATGAAGTAGTAATACATGCTATAACATAGGTGAACCTTAAAACAATATCATACCCCACCTAGGAGAAAAAAGCCAGTGACAAAAGGCCTCATATCATATGATTATATGAAATGTCCAGAACAGGCAAATCCTCAGAGACAGAAGTCGATTGGTGGTTGCCAGGGGATGGGAGATGGAAGAATGGGGAATGACTGTTACTAGACACAGGATTTCTTTTGGGGGAGGGGCAGTCATATAAATATTCTAGAATGAGATAGTGGTGATGGTGCACAACGTTTTGGATATACTAAAAACCATTGAATTATATACTTTAATATGTTGCATTG